TTATTCCATTATAATGTTCCCTCATATTAGTTATACTCCCCCACCCACCAAATAGTTTGTTAGCCACTTGGTCAATTTTCTCAGTCTTTATTTTTGTTTCCAACATACCTATCAACCCTATCTCTTCTTTATTACAAAGGAGTTTCACCTCCTTTTGTTTGTTAGAGACATTCATACCCCTAACATTCCAATATAGTATGTTATCCATTACCCCTGGGAGGAGGTGTTTTCCCTCCCACGTTTCTATCCACTTTGCTGAAACTGCTTTCATTTACAACATTATCATTTACCTTTAGCACTTGAAAATTATTATGATAGCTTTTATCTCTAGCTCCCTTCCCCTGTTGTACCTGTCTTCCTGTAGTTCTCGCAGTATTTATAGGAGTTACCCATCCTGCATTGTCCTGCCTAGGCCGAGTTATTTGCTTTCCTATTTCATTGCTGCTCCCTTGCTTTTTCCCGTTTTCTACTCCTGCCTCCTTATCAGTTATTTGAATCAATTGTCTTACTGCTACTTCATCCTTTTCCCCACTAGTTTCCTCTGTTGGTCTAGTATCTGCACTTTGTATCTTTGCTCTACAAACTTGTTCATCTTGACCATATTTCCTGCACACTTTACACAATGTTGGCTTCCAATCATACTGCACTTGCTGTTCTATTAGCAGCCCTCTTTCATCCTTAAAGAACACTTTGTCAGGCAATTTGGTATCCATCTGAACCTCAACTAGGAGGCGTGCAAAACTCAGCCCCACCTTCCTTTCTGTGTGACTTTCAACCATCAATGGTCGACCTATTAAACTCCTAATTTTGCTTAGGCCTTCAGGACTCCAGCACTTGAAGTCTAGCCCAGGCAGTTTTACCCATATGGGGACTGTATACAACTCCTCTTTGGTGAATTCCATGTCTGCATGAAATGCTTCACAATGACTGGTGTTGTCAAAGTGATATATACCACCTTGCAACACCTATCATTGAATCAAATCGCACTATTACTATCCGTTTCATTCTTTAACATTCTCACCTTGTTTATACCATGTTTACCCCATAGTCTACGAACATATACATTAAGCACTGTGAATGGCGGGTGAGCTCCCAACATATAACACACTACTGCTGATTTCCAGAATTCAACTGAGCTTATGTCCTCTGCCTGAGTTTCACAAACAAGTGCCTCGTCATGCATTTCAGGCTCTACAAATTGAAGTTTAAAACCAATATTTGTTACCTTAGTTATATCAAAATTATCCCAGATGGATCCCTTAGCATTCAATTCCGGTGAAGCTTCAGCTTCATCAGCCCATGACAATTTCCCACTCCCAGCTCCAGAATTCAACACCTCTTTCCATTGTGGCGGTGACGATGATGTACCTTCACCCAATTCCCTGACCCGCGGTTCTAATTGACTTGCAATTTGGTGAGATTTCACTTCCTAGCTCTTCAATTTCCTCTTGTTCGATCAGATCATCCATGCATGGTACTGTTCCATTAACTTTTTCCTCCTCGAGCTGCTTTTCTGGATTTTCACTTATTTTCATCTTATCATCCTTCTTCCTTTGCTGATATGCACCCAAAGCGATGGTTTCTCGTGCCATAATTGCCTTTTGCGAGGGATTCCGAGCTCTCTTCCCCATAGTGGCGCACGTTATGCTAACATGCGCTGAGAGAGAATCCTTCTTACTTCATCATCCTAGTTGCTGTCTTGCTTGACTAAATGCACTCTCTGATGCAATAGTTGAAATAGGCACATTCATCACGTCCCGAACCATAGCAGAAAGAACAAAAAATTATTTTTCATTCTCATGCCACCATCCCAACGGTGAAAATTTCTTTGTCCGAGGCTCTGTTTGCTTTTGCAAGAAGAGCAATGTTCCTGCTACTGGTTTGAGTGGAAGGGAATGTATACCAAATATTATAACCATTAAGGCCTTCATCTTCATCCATAGTAGCAGATGTAGTAGAAGTAGTACAATGCATAGTGGAATTAACATTTCCTACATTAATACCAACACCATCAATTATATTTGCATAGTAATTATATAATTGTTGTAAATAATCATTTAGCTTGGTCATACAATAATATATATCTGGGATTTCAGTTGGTCCAATCTCCATATAAGTATATAAAGCATTGATAAATTAGTGACAATTAGACATCTTAATAAAGGATTTAAAACAACACCAATTTAGTAAATCGGAGGAATTGGAAAGAATTTTTTTTGAATTTTGCTTGCATTTTTTTAACAGCATCCTAATATTTTTCTTTCTTCTCAAATTCAGAGAGTAGAAAAGAAATTTCAGCTATATGTACTAAAGCCATAGTAACAGTAGGATAATATGCTCCAGAAAACTCAACAGTAGCTGCATAAAATTTATGTAAAAATTTAACAACATCATTAATGGCCTCCCAAGTATTAGTTGTTAACATGCGGTTTGGATCAGTACAATGCGCATTAGCAACTTCAGTTATCGACAATCTATATTTGTAGCGACATTTAAAAAATAAGTATGTATAATTCCATTTAGAAACAATTTCATCTGGCATGAATCCTGGGTTAAGGTTATGCTCGGTACACTTAGTCTTAAATTCCCTAATTTTAGATTGTCTATTATTTTCTTGAATAACACCAACTACTCTTCTAACATGAGTAATCTCAGTCAAAAATAAATCAAGGCCACTTTTAAAAATTAAATTATAAACATGACATGCACACCTAACATGAAAATTTCGTCAAGTGGTGGTTCCAAATTCAATCTTAATGTTGAAATGGCAACATTATTGTTAGAAGCATTATCAAAAGACATACACAATACTTTTTATTAAGATTATAAACTGCAACAATTTCACAAATATTAGTACTCATAAAAATAGCAGTATGAGTTTGATCTTCATCATATTTAAAAGCGATAATACGTTTTTGCATACAATAATTATGATCTATCCAATGACATGTAATTGTCAAATAACCATTTTCATTAACAGCATGGCCAATATTAGAAGTTAAGGAAACTATACAAGGAAGGTGGTCAAACAAATAACGTATGTATGTCTGATATTGTCCATGAAGTCTAAAGTTATCAGACCTATAGGTACTTCTAGAGATACCTTTAAATAAAGGATTATAAATCCTCTGAATATACATAATAAGATATGATGAAGAAGCAAAAGAAAAAGGTAGACAACCCAAAGCAATCATTTTTGCTAACTCCTCACGATCCTTCATTTTATCATATTTCATAAGTCCTCAAGTACTAGGGTTTAGAGTTCCTTGATTTTCATCTAAATCAGAGCCCCATTCTATAGAATGCGTAATTCTCATATGTATGCTAAGTATCTCAGTCCCTCCCAAAACTTCCTCAAGACTTATGTTTAAAATCATCTTTACAAATTTTGCATCTAACTCTATCAGAATTCTCTATTTCCTTAAAATATTTCCGAACTTTACTTCTCCTTCTCCGATTACTAAACGGGGCCACATGTGGTCTTCTACTAGCGCCACGACCACCACCCATGCTACAACTCAAACACTACTAGGTGTAAGTGGTGTCTCATCTTCAATTTCTAATTCATTATCTTCTATACCGAAATCTTCCTGTAATTATTCATAATCTACATTATTATCAGGTGATGTTTCAGAAATTATGTGTAAAGTCATTTAAATTACTACTAGAAGTTGAAGTAGTACCTCTATTTCTATTTTCCCGATTACCCCGATTAGCAACCTTATTACAAACTCTTTTTGCAGCATTAAACATATTGTAAAAATTTAACTACTAATAAAAAAGAGGTATGCAAATAAAATAGTAATTAAGAGAAAGAGTTGGAGTGAGTGCACCGAATTTCGCAATAAATTGAACACGTGATGATGTTTGAAGTATTGAAATTGAATTTCGCCACTCCGATGTTACCACAAAGAAATGTTAATTGTTCAAAGTTCAAAATTCAAACTTCAAATAATACCATAAATAAAATTTCGAAAAAAAAGAGAGCCAAATAGTTGATTGCAATTTAGGTGAAGAATGAGAGAATGACAATTGAGAATTTGGGTTTGAGAATTGAGAGATGAGTGAAGAATGAAGAAGAAGGGGGTATATTTATAGTTTTTCAAAACGGTAAATTAGTAAATACTAAAAGTGTTAATTTTGAAAAAAAAATACCCAAAAGGGCTATTCTTGCAAAATAGCCGTTGGGCGACGGTCAAAATGGCAACTGACTGTTGCCGACGGTCAACTTAATTAAAAAAAATTCTGAAACAACCGTTGAACCGTTCCGGTTAACCGACTCGATTTTGACTTGATAGTACCGGTTTTGACCAATCCGGATAACCGGTACTTTGAAACTACCCAGTACAATCCGCTCCCCGTCCTAACCCAGCCCTGCCCGACCCCCTACCTACTGGTCCGGTCGGTTTGGGTCGGTCCGAAACCGGGTCAACCCGGCTCGTTAGACACCCATACTCTAATAGGAGTATATAATGTGAGGAGTAAAAAATATGTTCCAAGACAAACGTATAGAGTAATGGGAAGAACAATACTTTCTAACAGTTTTGATATTAATTTATATTTGAAAAAAAGATTCATTTGACGACCAAATAATGGATTAAACTTAAAAAAAATTACAATGTAAATAAATATATTGTCTTTACTTATTATATCTAAAAATATGACTCTATTTTCCAACGGAAGGATTTTGAACACTGAAAGGGTGCAGGGTCGGTAGTTGAGGCTGAAGTTTCTACTTAAAAATATTTAAATTTTCATGGTTGGAGAAAATAGGTAAATTTATCTTTTTATATTAAAAAGGGCTTCTTTAATGGTTCTTATAGTCTTTATCGGTGTATATAACTATAGGAGAAACTAATAAATAGTAGTGACTTTTTGATCTTAAAATAAAAAATAAATTTATTAGCTGAATTCATCAACTTGAATGATCATTTGGGATCTTAACTCTATTTGTAGATGATAAAGCCTACCGTCTACCATAGCGATTTTTATGTCTGATGTGATTGATAAAGACACAAAGCATTTCATTTAATTACCAGGAGTGAAGAAATAATACAAACACAAGGATAGAATGAGCTACGACGAAAAGAATATAAAAGAAGGAACTGAAGCTTACACACATACGAATTACTAGAAACAAATAGGAAAGAAAATCAAAGGAGAAAAATTAAATACTGGTAGGGATAAAAAGACACCCTCTTTATATACAATTTTGCATAGCTCATTTTCCATTCAATTTTGCGCCCTTTATTCATCATATTGAGTAATGAGAAGTCTTAGGCATTGCTCTTGAAGGAACCGAGAGCTTTGACGGCACCAGCTCGAAGGATATACTGGTGGTAGGCAGCGGCGGCAAAGGCTCCGATAAATGGACCAACCCAGAAGATCCAGTGCTCGTCCCATGCCTTGTCCTGGTTGTAAATCACGGCTGCTCCAAAACTCCTAGCCGGATTGATACCCGTTCCGGTGATTGGAATGGTGGCTAAGTGGACCATGAATACTGCGAATCCAATTGGAAGTGGAGCCAATACCTTCAAATTCAAATTAAAGAAAGATTAAATCATCTATAATTAATCTTGGTTTTAGGTACAATAATTACAAAAGAAAAAGAGATTCCACCTAGAGGAGAAAACTTAAATTGTGATATATTAAAAAAACAATTTGCGTTATATTATGTACAATCACCAACTGAAACTCCAAAAAGTACATAAACGCCAGCAAGTCTATTACCTAGGCAAATTAAATACTTTCCGGTTTCAGTTTATATAAACCTATAATTTCTTTTTAGTTCATTCTAAAAAAAAAAATTCTTTCTAAAGATGAAAACTTAAACTTGCAATTTTGCCTTTAGTGAAAAGTTTTAAAACCACACAAATATTATGGTATATGCTAGACCAAAGTTTCAAAAAAATTATAACCACACAAAAATAATGGCTTGTATAGCATCACAAGTAAAAAAAAATCATTTTTTTCTTGAACTTCGTATTCAACCAAATAAGTTCATATAAATTGAAACATTGGGAGTAGTTAAAGTTAAACTCTTGTACAATGAATTGCATTTGATGGAATACTTACGGGAACATGGGAGTCTCGGGCGCTTCTTTTGGGGTCAGTGGCAGAGAAGACAACGTAGACCAAAACAAAGGTACCAATAATCTCAGCAGCAAGACCAACACCCTTTGTATGGCCAGGAGCCATCACATTAACACCTCCACCATATCTGTCGTAGTAAGCACTTTGAAAAGCCTTCACAAAACCCACACCACATATTGCACCCAAGCACTGTGCTACCATATACACCAAGGCTCTGATCAGTGACACTTTCCTCGCCAAGAACAGCCCAAATGTCACTGCCGGGTTAATGTGTCCTCCTGCATTATTCACGTATTAATTTATCAGAACAATAATAAACAATTATGCAAAGCAAGGATGGGACAATCTTTACTATAAATAGACGAAAAATAATAAAGAAAAGTTTCAGCTTGAAAAAAACCCACTAACCAGAGATACCGGCGGTGCAGTAAACAAGAACAAAGATCATGCCACCAAAGGCCCAAGCAATACCAAGGATGCCAACGCCGCCACAGACGTCGCCATTAGCGTCAACGTCTGACTGTTGCTTGTAGCCGATAACCGTGAGTACAGTTACGTAAAGAAATAACAAAGTGGCAATAAACTCAGCAATAGCAGCTCTGTAAAAGGACCATTGTTTCAGCTCCGCAAAATCAATCAAGGGTGCTGGTAGCGGGTCTGTGTAGTCCTTTGCTGAAAACTCTGTTGCTGCTTCTACGTCTTTTCCCATTACTAATTATATATTCAACACTCTGTTGCTGCTCTGTTTTTAGGTGTGATGAGAAGTCAGAGCTGAGGGGGCAGGTATTTATATTAGAATAGAACGAAGGGGAAGAGCAAAGAAGGGATGATTAATTATTTAAGTTAAAAATTTAAGCCGCCCAATATATATACTATTGTGGAATTGGTCCCACCGCCACCGTGGCCACACGACGGCTATCACTTTGCGGTGGTTTGGTCGTGAAACAAGTTATGTCATGATTAATTATTTCGAGATTAATTATTACATCTTCTTATGGGAATAAAAAAAATAGTTGAATACTATGATTTTATCCTAATCAAACGTGGGATAAACTATCTCAAATTTAATTCTGGGATTAGTTATCCCTTATACCTCGTACCAAACGAGCTCTATATAAACAGGGGGAGGGAGAGTTTTACTGATTCGGACGACTCTAATAGTTTTTGCTTAAACTTTATATTTATATTAGAAATTTATTAAATATGTGTCAATAATCAATGAGCCTGGTAATTATAGCAAACTATAACTTTAATGTGAAGTTCAAAATTCATAAACTTCAAATTCTAACTCCTCTATGTTAGTAGAGCTGTTGAATTTTTTTTTATCACGTTTCCAACATCAGAGGTTAATAAGTGCCGGAAATAATTTTTTGAGTTACATCGAACAGCTATGTCAAAATCTCAGAGAAATGGAGATTTGGACACGAAAGATCGAATTCAATTATACTTTTTATGTGTATACTTTAGAGATGGTCTAAGCTACATTATTGTGAATTTACTACTGCTCGCCAATAAAAAGAAAACTGTAAAAAGACATACGTTAAGTACTAACTAGCTTATGTGAATTCAACATTTTTTTGCTATAAAATAAATATAGCAAGAGATTATTTTAGTCGAAAGGATGAAGATTAGTGAATCAAATTGAAAGACAAGTTATGTCATTAGGAGTTTCCTTGTTCAAACATCATATATCATATCAAAATTAAGAAATCGTAAAGAA